CGTACCTTAGCATCACGTAACTGTGTTGCTTAGTGATGCCAATCTCTGCAATCCCCATTGCTGACGTTAAGCAAGGATTGTGAGTCATTAAGTGAGGACCTCCTCACAACTTCCTTCTAGCTAACAACCAAAGTCAGTGGGGAAGCCAGCAGGAAATTGCAAGTCTCAGGAGGCTTGTAAGCAGACTTGCAGGTGGGTAAGTGGCTGCTGCTGGGTGGAGAGGGAGTGAGGGTGTGCAAGTGGCTAGGGAGGGTGCATGACTAGTTGGGGAACTGCAGTGTGAGTGCAGCGAGGCTCAGGGAGGGTGCGTGGATGACGGGGAGGCACAGTGCAAGTGTAGCAGGGCTTGGGGTGGCTGTTGCTGGGTGGGAGGGGATGTACAAGTGGCTGGGTGAGAGGAGAGGCACAAGCTCAGTGAGTCTCAGGGAGGGTCCATGGGTGGTGAGGTGGTGTGGCACAAGCACAGTGGAGCTTGGGGTGACTTCTGCTGGGTGGGAGAAATACGCAAATGGCTGGGGAGACATTGCACAAGTGCAGCAAAGCTTGGGGAGGGTGTGCGAGGAGGAGGCATGACATGAAGCTTGGGGTGGCTGGGGAGGGTGCATGAGTGGCTAGGGAGGTGTGGCACGAGCACAGCAAGGCTTGGGGAGGGTGCGTGGGTGGTGGGGAGGTGCAGCGTGAGAGCAGTGGGGCTTGGGGTGGCTGCTGCTAGGTGGGGGAGGGTCTGAGAGGGTGTGCAAGTGGTCAGGGAGGCATGGTGTGAACTCAGTGAGGCTTGGGGAGGGTGCATGAGGGTGCACAAGTGGCCAGGGAGAGTGTGTGGGTTGTTGGCGAGTTGCAGCATGAGCACAGAGGGACTGGGGCAGGGTGCACAGGAGGGGGAGACTTACCAGAGCAACTTGTGACCTTGCCTCTGGCTTCCCTATTGATTTTGCTTGTGGGAAGCCGGCAGGGAAGGTTGCAAATTGCAATCATGTGTCTGTGGGATGCTGCAACTGTTGTAAGTGCAAGCTGGTTGCCAAGTGCCCAGATCATGATCAAGTGATAGCGGGGGTGGTGGGATGGCCAGAACTTCGAGGTCCGATCGTAACCACCACTTGTTCAGTGCTGTCGTAACTTCGAACAGTTGTTGAACGAGTGATGATTAACTGAGGACTACTTGCACTTCCATTTGTTATTTCCTGCTCAGTGTTGAATCATTAACTAAGCATTCCATTTATTTTCATGCATATACTGCCCTATTTCATTCAGGAACTAACCTTCAATTCCATATTTGTGCAGCATTCGACAATTTAATCCTGTTCACACTATCATACACTTTCCCTAAATGAAAAGTGTACAGTTTCACACTGACATACAAAAGATAAAAACCTGATCTGCACAGCCCTTGCCCAGCATGAAGCTATACTGCACTTCTCAGATGTCACCTTTCACATCCTTTCATTCAGAATTCTGCTAAACATCTTCCCATACACTGTATATAAAGCTAATAAAATTAGCATACTGATAATATTGGGCCCCTAACTGACAGCTGAACTCACCCAGTGGTTTCATGTAGAAGTTAAACAAAAAGGGTGAGAGCATAAGCAGAGGCATCCCACAAATGATGGGCTGCAGGCATGACCCCTCCCCATTGTTGACACTGAATGGAACCAACCCTGGAGAAAGGAGCTCTGGAATATGGGGTCTCTCACTCTCAAACCCCACAGCCAGTCCAGAAGGATACTGTGACCAACAGTACCAAAAGCTGCTGAGAGATCAGGAACTGGACGATAGACACACCACCAAAGTTCCACCAAAGGTCATTAACAAGCCCAATCAATGCTGTCTCCAGACTGTATCCTGGCCGAACTGAGTCCAAATAATCTGCTTCATCCAGGATCCTCTGCAACTGCTGTCTGACCACCTTCTCAACCTTCTGAATAGAGACTGGGCAATAGTTGTCCAGGACTGCTGGATCCAGCGGCAGTTTCTTGAGGAGGGGGTGCCACATCATCTCATTCAAGGCTAATGGAACTCTTATCTCCATGATGTTGCCTTGAATGTGGACCTTTTCTTGTGTTCAGTCAGACTTGTTCTTAATCTTCCTCCAGCTGTCTCTTCTGTTGTAAACCTGTTTTAAAGACATCTTGTCCAATGCTGTATGCTGGTTTCCATAATGTAAGGGAGATGCAATTGTTATTTAGAATTTGTTCCCTTCCCTTCCCTTCTTTAACTAAGAAAGCTGGAATGATAATTTCTTTGGGCTTTAGGGAACATGGCAGGTATCCTACATCTTCCTTTTACATTGAGAAAAAATGACTTAGAGCAGTTCTTTGCAAAACATGCTGAGACATTTTATGAAGCAGCCACACAAGCCTGGGAAAAACTATGACTGATTTAGTGATTAAGAGAGATGCTTTGTATCAATTCCTGTGCATTGGAAAGCACTTCTTTGCATGGCTTTAATATAAGAAATGAATTTGGAGAAACTGAGTGAAGGAAAGGGAGACCACAATGCAATTTGTCCCTACAGTATCAAATAATATTGTAACAATGGCAGGATTGAAAAAGATTACAACTGGAATCAAAGTAGGCTGAAACACTAACAGTTTGAGAGATGTAGATGACAACAGTACATTAACCAGAAATGAAGAAGACTTAGAAGATGTATTTTATGAAAATAAAAATTGAAAAAAAAATTAAAAATCTGAGTTAATGTTAAATATTAAGGCAATGTTGGCTAGCATACTTAGTGGTCTTAACAGCAGATGGTGAAAAAGTGAAGGTGCTACATCATTTTGTTTTCTTGGATGGAGGAACACAGGGACAAACCTTTGCAAACTGAGGAAGAATAAGGATATCTCTTTCCAGTGGTAACTGGTAACAACTGTAAAAGCTGGATATTGAAAAAGGATGAGAGAAAAAAGCCTTTGAATTATCACAGACTACAAGAAGAACTGATCAATACTGAGCCAAACAAAAACTGTCCCCTTGAAGTGATGATCAACAAGCAGAAACTCACATGCTTCGGGCATGTACGATGAGCAGATGATGGACTAGAAAGAACTATTTTGTTTGGCATGGTTCAGGAAAAGTAGAAGAAGAGGAAGGCAGTGGATAAGATGGATGGACAGATACAAAGAGATTACAGCCCTGTTGTTGGAAGAACTGTGGATTATTGTCAGAAATAGGTTGAGGCTCCATTTGTCCTTGTGGTTACCAGGAGCTGAGTTTGCATTTATAACACCTAATGAACAAATTGCACATTTTTTAGAGCAAAGTGCTGACCTCCATACTTTCTGTCCCAAATCTACAGCAGTCTTTTTGTATACTATCTCTGTTGGATAATTGCAGCTCTAGATGAATCTGTCTTAATAGTTTGCCTTTAGCATTCTAAATACCTTCTGGTGGGCAGTTACTTATTTCTCTGTCTGAAGGATATTGGTTGACAGTTACAAATACCTCCCATAAAGGCCAAGGGGATTCCTGGTCTCTGCATTACCAGCTGAAGATATAGTCAAATGGAAGGGGATTGGGAAGGAAGACAAGAAAAGCCAGCACAGACATATTGTAACAGTTGCTGAGATGATATTTAATATTAATAATTACTCCTCAGCTGGAGTTTTTCCTACCTCCAGTTTTTATATCCAGAAAATTATTCAGGGGGTTGTCCTTCTCCAGCATAATTCAGTATTCACATATTCTCTAATGCATATTTCAGTCAGGCAAACAGTAGTAGATTATAACAGCTCAATATAAAAAACGCAAAAGCTGAAACAAAAATGCACTGCCCAGTTGAGTGATCATGATAAGATATAGAAAATCAGTGACAGAGTGGAAGCGCAGCAGAAAGTATCGATGGCTGTAAGATATTATGGTACAAAAACAATATACCTTATTCAGGTTTAGACACAATAAGATTACTTGTGTAATATTATATCCAATATTCATACTTATTCATACTTACATTTATCCAACAAAGTGTATGTATTCATAAGGACTCAGTAAGGCAGTTTAAGACAGTTCCAGCTTTTATCTAGGAGAAATATTAATCATATGCCCTTTATTGCATCAAGAGAAAATCCAGGATTATATTCATATTTTATTTTGGGGGAGGGTTAAAACTAAACACAATAGCACTTTCTGCTGCCTGTTTTAGTAGCTTGTTGTATTCATAATATTAAGCCATAATATATCTTGTTTTTGACTTAGAATGATATACAAAGGCATTTCTGTGTGAACCAGGTCAATGTGTCTTGCTACAAGGATACACACAAACTTTTTGAAAATGGTGCTGGTGAAGCATGTAACTGGATGTTGTTTATTTCACCAGGACTGAGTTTGCCTTACAGTAAGAAGGATTTGCTTCCTTTGCAAAAATAATTAGAGAGATTCATTAATTCAAAGTATATCTGTGAGTGTATCTTAAAGCTCTAGCATTATTTAGTATGATTCCAACTGTGAGGTTAGAATTTTACTCTACAGTAGGCTGCTTAGCAGGCATGAATGAATTATGCAACTCTGCATGTTTTCAGTTAAAGCACTTAAAATGTGTGAGAGCTATAGGGGCTATAGTTCGATGATCTATGTGATATTTGACTCTCTTTTCCCATCTTTGTATTAAACTGTTCTAAAATTGTGGTACCTCCAGCTAAGATATTATCTGCTTGGATATATTCTTGAAATTGAGCTATACGTGCAAAAAGAATGAATTAATAATAAAGCTAGTTACTCTTTTAAAAAATCTTAAACTGCATGGTTACACTGTAGATGTGCCCTATATAGTACAGCTTGCCTGAAGTTCTGCCTATGCTGACACTAGATTCATGTCTCAGTGTTGCTGATTAGCAACATTTGCAAGAAAAGTTGTACAAATCTTCAGCTGTATCTGCTAATGTACATACTCTAATTTGGGGGCGGGTGTGTGTGCGGAGAAGATAGACCCTGAATGAATATTATATTTTCTGATGTGCATTATAGATAACCCAACAGCTTATGCAACATGTATTTTGTTTCAGGATTTATAATGAAGGACTTCCCATTTCTGTGGTATGCCAATGCAATCAGGAAGATGGAATTAAAGTTTTACCTCCAAGGTCACCAAGAAGTATGCCCGAGTGGCAAAGAATAGCTGAGTTCTATGTCGAAAAGCCTCAACTGAAATTGTTAGGAAAAAAGGTAGGGCTTCATTCATACTTGTAGTAATAACTTTTAAGGAATCTCATTTGTGAAGAGTAACTGAGATTGTTTTTCTTTAAATATAGCAAAAGCAAACATACAAAGTAGCTTGTAAAGATCTGAGAGTCCTACATTAAGATAGAAAGTATCACCAGATAGACTTCTATATTCCTTCTTTTCTATTAGTATTCTGGGATTAAGTTCATTTAAAAATAAGGGGTCCGTCTGATAAAAACTCTCTAAATGTACTTCTCTGTCTCATGGCAAACAATAGTATGTGGCTATTGCTACTTACCAGAAACATTCAGTTTTAAAGAAGTCAATGACTTATACTATAAAAATATAAGGATCTACTTTAACTTAAATCATATATTTGAAACATCAAACACAGCACTCTTTTGAAGGCTCAGACAACCTTGATCTCACACTAGAAGTTACCTGGTGGGCAGGTGATGCCAAAACTTTGGGTGGGACTTTTTTTTATGCCCTCCAGCAGTCTGTGGTAGCACTTTGGGCTACTTGAAGATAGCAATATATGTATAACCTACTATAAATCTACTGTTGATTTAAAAGCAATGTGCTTAGAATAAAAGCTTAATGACATATCGTACTAAATCAGTTTTCAAAACATTTTTTTGAAGGTGAAACTTCAGCCTGGATCTCTAAAAATGTTTTGGACTCCAGCTCCCCATAAATTTTCTGCTCCTCTTTCTGTTATGAAGGAAATCTTGTTTTCCAAGTATGAGGTAAACTTTGTGAACATATTTGAAGGTTACATGATATTTAGCACCACATTTATTTCTCCTAAATATGCAATTATGCAGATAGAGTTTTTTCTGTATTAGGATCTGTACTTAAAATGTAAATTACAGAAACATTAAATATTTACTTTAATTCAAGTAAGTATGATGTATTTTTCTGTAATAATGCAGAATTTATTACAAAGTTTCCTTTTAATAATTATATGTATCTTGCCATAATCATAGACATGTTTTCTATAGAACTATGTTCATAAATGACTGAAGGCAAAAGGAGAAGGGGACGGCAGAGGATGAGATGGTTAGATAGCATCACCGAAGCAATGAACATGAAATTAAGCAAACTGCGGGAGGCAGTGAAGGACAGGAAGGCCTGGCACGATATGGTTCATGGGGTCACGAAGAGTCGGACATGACTTAATGAGTGAATAACAACAAAATGTTCATAAATATTTTACTTTTAGGTTTTCAATATTTATATAGCTTAAAAATTAGTGGTGAGATCACCTTGGGAAGTACCGAGCTGTTTGTTTCCTTGTTTATTGTGAAGTGTGAAGCCAAAATGAGATTGCATACATTATTTTTCCAGCATCTGCAATTCTAGATTTCTTTATAGGCTATGAAAACAAAAACAAGAAACAAACCTTGGAGGGTTTGTTATAATCCATGGACTGTGGGATACTAATTTAACTACAATTAAATCCTTAAGCCAAGAATGAATGATCTTTCCAAATATAGTTTCCTGCCCTAAACCTAATGGTGGGTTCCCACTGACCTTTCCCTCCCTCATCACTCTCACCAAAACAATAACCGAACCCCCTATATTATGGCTGAAATTGGCAATTTAATTTTTTTCTTGAACCAAGTTTAGACTTTATAGAGTCTTGGTTTACTGTTTTAGCTGCCTACTAATTTTCATAGAAAAACATATTCTCTTTATTTTTTTCCAGAGCAATTTGGTTAATGGGGTTATTTATGAAGATTTTTCCATTGATCTTCGAGAGAAAGAAACGGGAGACTATGAAGATGACTTTGACAATTTGTTTTCTGTATGTATTATAGTAATAGGATTCATGGGAGGGTTTTTTTTTAATGTTTTAAAGGATCCCATCCAGCTTTTACAGCAACAAGTTTTGTGATGGTCACCAAAGCTAGCCACAAATGCCATTCACACAAGTGCAGGAAATTTCATCCTGGTGAAGGAATGGATTGGTGGAAGTACCTTCCCTGGGTCCACTGTAGAAACCAGGCCATGACCATTTAAGGGGTTTTCCTTTTCTGCACATAGAACAAATATGCAGTCTCTCTCTTTTGCTAGTACCCAACAGATTAGTAAAGTTGTCTCAGATCAGTAACTTTTATGAGTGTTTTATATTGAAATTAGAGGTGGGCATTAGTCATCAGTCTCTGTCTAACAGTTAACATTGTTTATACTGCTCTAGCAAAACATTAAGGCAAACCCAGAGGTGGTAAACTACTGTCCTTTGGGGATAGTTTGCTTCTGAGTTTCCTCATAACATTGTTGCCTATTGCTCTCTCTAGCAATCCTTAGATACCTTCATCTTTCTATAAATTATGGCTTCTTTCAGTTTAGGTCTTACCGATCTTCCATAATTTGCCTTTCTCTACCTCCCATGTCCCAAAAATTCATTTATGGATTTTAAAATTCTTCCAGACAATTTATTAAAATAATCCCTATGTGGTATATAAAGTAAAACAGGATGAAACATAAAACACAATAAAAGCATAATTTTTAAAAAATCTGATTAAAAATTGTTCATTGTAAAATATCAGGAGAACATATACATCTTCAGCACTCTCTCAAAAGCCATATAGAGGGGACTCCACGTCTAGCTGAAAGAGGAGGATTCTGAGGAATAGTAGTGAAAGCTAAAGTCACCATCAGACTGAAAAGAAAATATTTTTGATTCTACAAATGTTATCAGTGATACAAGTAAATTCATATGGGGGATCATGCTCCCTGCCCACTTTGTTGTCAACAAATAGTCTTGCATATTTTGGAGCTATTGATTGATGTAAAACTGAATTGAACAGGAGTGCCAAATTCTTTCTCTTTATATTCCCAAAGTAAGCATCCATATATATATAATGAACAAGAAATCAGTTCTACCTCTCTAAACATTAGTCTAAAAGATAGGGGTGGGGCAGGGGGCTGGGAAAGCAATGGACAGAAACATATGAGATACAAGGCAAGTCTGTTGACAGCTTATTTTATAAATAGCAGTTCAGCCCAGGTGGCAAGTAACCTAGAAAGAAGCATTTTAAATCATTCAAAGAGATTCCACTTTAATGAACTCACCATAAATGAAGGTTGACAATTCCTCTTGCAGTTTCCAAGATTCTATATTTACCCCAAAACTGTCATGGAAGATGTCTGTGTAATTCTTAGGTTTCCTTGATCTTGATCAGCTTGACAGTTTCCAAATTGCTATTCTTTTGCCTACCAGTTACTGCTACTTCTATTTCACATGGCAGATCTTAAGAGAACAGGGAGAACTAATCTATGATACAGAGTAATAGTATCAATATATGGTGATCAGCAACCACCATGTATTGTGTGAGGGGCATGGCACAAAATTCCCTGTGTTACCAGGGGCATGTGGGAGGGCTGACATTCTGTAAACCTATAAAACTAACATATAGTTTTTACACTGGAGCAAAAAGTAATCTAGCCAACTGCTACTAATAAGAATAAACTTAATTCATATTACTGTTTTGTTTCTGCATGTATCTTGCTGCTGCTGTAGCTACAGCTACTGTAAGCCCTTTGAACTGTTCGTTGCTGCAATACATAAAAAAGCATCAGTCTGAGAGGAGATGAAGGGAGCTGAGCTTCACCTTTTCTCTCTGCTTTAGCTTTTGCGATAAGTTACACTGACTTAGCCAGCTGCCCTTGATGGCTTCCTTCAGTCTTGCGTTTGTGCGGTGGCCAAAGGAGGCTGAGGATTTACTTTGCAAACATTTCTCAGCTCGGCCATAGCTGGTTGGTTGGTAAAGCCTTCTCTTTAACAGCACATACTATTGCACAGCTCCCTCTAGTGATGAGCAGGTTACATCTCAACTCTTGAGTAAAGCCAAGCAACTCATAGGCTCTGCAGCTTCCAATGAGATTGCATCTTTTGGGAACATGAGGACAGCAAAACATTCTTCTATAGGCACAGGTGTCCATGAGCAGAGATCTTGTTTACCAAGGGTCATGAGCAGGCACTGTTGTTCTATTTGAGGATACAGGATTACTGGCCCTGAAACACAAGTAGATTTAGTTGGGTGTAATAGGGATGCTATGCATCACTTGGAGACTTCAGCATGACCACATATTTCAAATTCTTCCTGTATGTTGTCACATGTAAACTTATACAGTATCAAATAAGGGGACAATATCCGACTTGATCTTTCTATCTGGTACAAATCAAACCATACCCAATTTCATTAGGTTGCTTTGTGGTATTTCAAAAATGATATTAAGATGCATTCTTCTTCTGAAAAACTAACTTTGACTCAGTCCTGGATTTTTAATATATTTGTTTTTGGTGTGTCAATAAATAAAAGATAGCTATCATTTCAGAAGGGTGTTATCTCCTCTTCATTTATGGGAGGATACTATTGGTAGGGAAAAAATGCTAAATTGTCCTATCTTTTATAGCCCAATACTTGTTTCTTGAAGGACAGTTGGGTTGATGTGGACTAGTATTTCCTTTTGGGGAATCAATTGTTAGAAATACTTCATGTAAGTTATGAAAAAGTATACACTGTGCCTTTCTTCCATCAACATTTTTTTACCTTAGTTATAAATGTTAACACCAATTTTCTTGATTTAAACAGCTGTCATTAACAAAACTCAAGATAAAATTTACATAATTGTTTACAGGTTTCAGAATCTAAAACCATTTTTCAGATAAGAACTATACTAGAACTTTTAAAAAATCTTATTAATATAATAATATCAATTTTGTTTTTATTGTAGAATATTAATGCAAATGGAAGACGTGGTTCCTTTCCAGAACTTCTGCTTTGTGAAACTGATACAGAGGTATTGTAATTTTAAAATTAGAATTTATGTTTCATGATACTGATTTTATCCTTAGTTTGATGATATACTCTCACTAGGAAACTCACTAGGAAACTGGGTGGGGGGCTTTCCCTTGGGCTTCTGTGTTCTGGAAGTGGGAGCCTACAGACCATATATGGCTGGAGGTTCTCCAGCCCTCGGGCCACCTCCCATTTTCCCACTCTCTAGAGAAGAGAGTCCTTTGCCTCTTTGATGCAGATTTTCTTTCCCTTTTCCATGAGTGAGAGCCTCCATTCCTTGAACTACTGTTCTGCATAATTCTGATTCCAGTCCATTCCTTAGTTTAAAAGTTCATAGCAATGGATAACACATGTAACATTTCCTGGGCTGTGTGGTAGGTATACTGAACTATGCACTAAATAAATAAATAAAATGTAAATGTAAATAAAATACAAATATCAGTATGAATATCTATGAATGAATATTCATAGTATCAGAAAACTACACACGTGCATCAATATTATCTAACTCTACAATTCACTAAAAGCTTACAGTTCTTTTGCAGTTTCTCATTATTTTGTCTTCCAGTTTTCAATTCCCCTGTTCAGCTTAATTTTGTTCAGCTAAGCTAATAGTCAGATTCTTTTTCTTTTTTGTAAAACATATTATATTGTTGTCAAATCTATACAATGCATTATATTATTTTGATACAGAAGCATTTGTACAGTATTGACTAAAGATATTTAACACTCTAATGTTTAGATAACTTAGACCACTGAAGATAAAAGAGAGAGAAGTATTAGTATTAATTATGATTTAAAATGTCAATATTAATGAGCATAAGATTATTTGCCTTTTTCATCCAGAACTGAATACAACTTTAAAAAACTGTTGCAGATTGCATCAAAGTATTTGTTGTATGATAAAGGTTTTTATCTTAAACAGATTACTTAGTATTAAGGTCTCCACTGTATTGTTACTTAATATTATTTGTGCATGCTGAAGATTCTTATCCTTCCTTTCTATACTATGACAGTAGATTTCTCAGCTTTAATTAATCTCTCAGCAAACAATCTTTAGACTGTAAAAATTCAGAATTGTTTTTGATTTAAAATAATCATTATATATATTTATTTGTGTTATAGGATGAAGACATTACATATGTAAGTAGTCTGCTATAGAAGAGTGCCTCATCCAGCAAATATGTATGTTGGCTTTCTAAGTATTGTTCAATTTATGTGACATTTGGTATCTATAATATAGTAATAATTTTCTCTGAAGCTTACTACCAAAATAATGGACTATCTGAAATAAAAATATGAAAAGAGATGCATTATCTTGAAACTCCATGACCAATTATACTTACCAGAATAAGAGTAGCATTTCCCATTTATTTAGTTTACAGTTATTCTCTTTACAAAAATTGGAAGTAATTAGCACCAACTCTGAATTCCTATCAGAAATACAGTATAATTTTTGGTCTGTGGTATAGTTGCAGTACTGATTATCCCTCCCCAAAAGTTAGAAAATGAAAATTGTAATGTATAATATTACTCCCAAGTATTAACGCATCCCTGACACAGTTCAGCCTACAAGGAAGTTCTCTAGTAATTTTACATACCTTAAGCATTTTCAAATGAAGCCCTCCAAATGGGCTGGACTGTAACCCTCAAATTCTCAACTAGTACAGGAATATGAATTCTTCCAGGATTTTCTCTAGCACAATCTAAATTTGATTGGGTACAATGAATTGTTGGAGATGTTTTATAATTTTATTCTATATATTGTCATACTTTTCATTTCATACTGTATATCATTATTTTATCAACACCTATTGAGTTGTGCTTGTTGATCATTAAACTGAAGCCCTTTTGGTTTGGACCACTGAGATGTTTTCAGTGAAGGAAATCTATATACTACTAAAACTTTTATTGCGTTTGTCTGTTTGTCTGTTTATCCCCTCAAGTTAGCCCAAATGGTGCATTATACTGCAACAGTTTTTGAATCAAAGTACCTAAAATCCGCTAACTTAAGGAATGGGTAAAAAATCAGGGACCCTTTACTCCTGTGGAACTGAAATTTCCACAATGTTCAGACCAGTTTTATTTGCAAAGTTGTGGCCGTTGCAGCGTTCCCACAGTCACCTGATTGTGATTTCTAGTGCTCCCTGCCAGCTTTCCACAAGCAAAATCAATGGGAAAGCTGACAGGAAGTCAGAAGTTGCTCCCACTCCACTGCTTTTTTACCTGCCTGTGTTCATTCTGTTCATCTGTTTAGTTAAGTAAATATTATTACTGAAGTTCGTTTGCCACTACAGTTATTTTTCTATTTATGACATATACCATTCTTAGACGATCATGGGACCATCCAGCATTGGGGTAAAAAAATATGGTCAGCCTAAAATTTAATGTTAATTCTGGTCACATCAGACTGTACTACCTTTCTCTCAAAGGATGACCCAACGGGTTAAAGGGTTGTCTAGCGTATACTACATCTATAAAGCTAATATCAATTTGATTTTTAAAAATGGTGAACAGTACCCAGATTCAGTAGTTTGGCCAACTGTGATATTCATGTGGAACTTTAGTTAAAGGGTACTTCTTGATTTAAATTGTATTAAATATCAATATGTTTTCCAAAATGATATCCATAAATTGAAATTTATTTTCTTGCAGCAACATTTGATGAAAAGGGCAAATAGCGCACCAGAAATGTCCACACATAGAGACAAAACAGCTGTAAAGATTTCTGCAGATTTCAAAACTACTATGGAAGAAATTGAAATTATGGGCAAGCATGTTCCTTTAGTAAAGATGAATGATACAGTACCAGAAGCTGAAGGAAGCTCTCTTACTCCTAACCTTCCGAAACATTTTAGCCCTCCCAAACCATTTCCAGATCCAGAGAAAGTTTCTGAAATAATTCTGGAAAATGTAATGAAAGTCCCAAGAGGAAATCTTTTCGAACCACAACCTGCTGAATCTGTACGGGTCCTAGATGAGACTGCTCTTGCTGATGAATGTCGAAAAGCTGGAATTAAGTACATCATTTTCCCAAAGAAAAAAAGAACAATGAAATCAGGAAAAAATATAACTCCCAAAGTATTGAACAATGTATTTGCGAAATTAAATGAACCTCCAAAGGTTCTTAAAAGGTTGTCCATTTAATAACAATTTTATTATGTATTTATTTAGACAGTTGGACAGAACAGTTTAAAGTCACAGATCTATTGGTTAAATATGCTTTGGATTGGGGAAAATGTATGAAGTCTCTCTATATGAAAATAATTACTACTGGTGGTATTTCTGGGTTGGACCAAGATAGTATTCATTGCTTTGGAGCTACAAAACCCTTTTGTTCCCCTAAAAGTTACCAAGATCCAGACCCTCAGCTTTGTCAGTCTTGATGTACAAAGTTTGGAACCAATGTGAGGGATGATATTCGAAACAAATGGAAAAACTGACAGTGAAATCAGTAGAAGAAATATTATTCTCTCTTATACAGGCTGATGTGAGCCAAGTGGCAAATCAGTAATAAGTTCACTCCCCCCGCTTTACTTAGTTGTTATGGTTCACTTAAGTAACAGCTCCTGCTTCCACCTAGGAAAACTGCATTTTGAGATTTGATCCAGTTATTATTAGCAATCAGTGACACTCCTTAGATTTCTAGGACCAGATACAGGAAGAATAAGAGGATGCCAGCTATTTTGTGTCATATTCCTAGTCCCAAATCAGATTTATTATCAGGCAGAAAGATGAAGCAGATTTTGGAATACTACTAAATGGTCAGTTCTTTTTCATAGTTTCTTTGAGTTATACACATCTGCCTCTGCACAGAACTATATTTGTAGTCTAGAGTTTACGGAATTGTTTGGTGGGCATCTTGTCCCCATGCATGTCACACAACTAGCTGCAGATCCCAACAAACTCTTTGGTTTGCTTTTGAACACCACAGCGTTGGATATTTGCTCTTCTATGTTACCAATTTTCTTTTTCTTTTTTAAATAACTTTACTAAGTTTAAAAAAACCAAAAGGATAAAAACTAACATGAACAAGAAGAAGAGTAGAAAGCAAGAAAGCTAGAAATAAAACAAAAGTGCTAGAAAATAAGAAATACAAAAAGAATGATTTCTGACTTCTTAAACAGCAGATATAAATGAATAATACAATAACCTCTTATTCTACAACTACATCTTAACATACATATTTTGTATAATCTATTAATTTAACTAAATAAATCCATATAGCATAATTTCATTTTTTTCTGTTTCCTGCAAAAAGTCCAGAAGGGGCTTCCAATTAGCATTAAAGTTAATATTTTTTCTCTAAGCAAAGCTGTAAATTTCACCATCTCAGCTAACTCCATCATCTTCACCATCCATTCTGCCATTGTAGGTAATGTCAAATCTTTCTACCTTTAAGCATATAAAAGTCTAGTTGCAGTTATCATATATAAAAATGAAAGTCCATGAGCTTTTTCCAGTTGTTTATCCATCAGTCCCAGAAGAAATGTCTCTGGTTTTGACTGTATATTAACCTTCAAAATTTTCTGAATTAATATATGTATTTGAGTTCAAAATTTTTTAGCTTTATTACATGTCCACCAAGGATGATAGAAAGTCCCTTCTTGTTGTTTGCATTTCCAATATATATTTGAAACCCCTTTATTTTATTGATAATCTTTCCAGTGACAAATATCATCTATACATTATTTTATAGAAATTCTCCTTCAAATTATAACACAGTGTAAATTTTAACTCACATATTCTCCCATTGTTCCATTTGTATATTACATCCAAAACTTTTAGCCCATTTTATCATACAATCTTTAACTTAACAAATCTTAACAAAAGTTTATACATTTTAGCAATAAGATGTTCAGTGTGAGTACACAATTCAGTTTCAAAGACGGTTTTATTTCATGCAAAACCATATGTCTTTTTATCAACTTTAAATCTTTCTACAAGTTGTGCATATGAAAACCATTGACATAGATGTCCTTCTGATATCAAATTCTCTCTTGATTTTATTTTAAATTCTCCTTAGTGAATATCGAAGCTATCACCATAAGTTAACCATTTCTGCTTAATTTCCATTTCTTTCTGTAAAATGCTTCTTGTGGAGATAATCATAAGGGTATTTGCGGACACAGTCTAGGTTTATATCTATTCCAGATTCTCAAAATGGCACGTCTAATAAAATGATTCTTAAAATCTACATTAACCTTAACTTTATCATACCATAAATAGCCATGCCACCCAAATCTCAATTCGTGTCCTTCCAAATTCAATAGTCTATTATTTTTCAACAACACCCACTCTTTCAACTTAACTAGACAACAAGCAGCAAAATACAATTTGAGATCAGCTAAACCTCCTCTTTCTTTAGCATCCTGCAACACCTTATATTTAACTCACTTTTTTTTTACTTTTCCAGATAAATTTAGTTATATCCTTCTGCCATTACTTAAATCAGTAATCACAATTGGTGTTGTCTGAAACAAAAATAACATCCTACATAAGACATTCATTTTTATCACAGAGCTTCTTCCCAACAATGACAGTTGTAATTTCTCCCATCTTAACATAGCTTCCTTAACTTTATTTCCATGTCTTAACATAATTATTCTGGAACAACATATAATTCATATTTGTCAGATTAACACCCAAATATTTTACCTTTTTCTCAATCTTGAAACCTGTTTTATTCATCAATTCTATTTGATCTTGTATCTTCATATTTTTTGTTAACATCTTTGTCCTTGGTTTGTTAACCTTAAATCCAGCTAATTGTGATGGAATGGTTTGATGAAGGCCGTGCTCGGGGAGATAAGCATTTCCTTAGCCCCCAGCAGGAGCGTGGGAAGGTTAAGGAGATGAGGCTGGCACCGCCCTAAGGAATTCACGGTGTTTTGGCTTGCTGGCTTGGGAAGTTTAGATTCAGTCTGGAGAGATTCTGTCTTGTAGGTGGAAGCTAATAAATGCAACAGAACTGTATCTGTACTGTCTCGTGGAGTTCTTTGGCCTGAACCTGACACTAATGCACCAAACTCTTGTAATTTTCTCATTAGTATCTCTATCCCTTTCAATGGATCTTCCAATACCAGCACCAAAACATCTCAATTTATATGTCTCTTTCTTGATTTTTATTCCCCTTATGCCCTCATCTTGTCTTATATGTCTATTTAAAACTTTCAAAACCAAGGTAAACAAAAGTGGGGATAAGGGACATCTTTGTCTCGTACCTCTTTGAATCTCACATGGTTTCATTAAATCTCCATTGATGATAATTTGTGCTTACTGTGATATATATATTGATTTAACTGATGCTATAAAGTTATCACCAAAATCCATATCTTCTAAAACTTTAAACAGGAAAGGGCAATTAAGATTGTCAAACGTTTTCTCTGCATCCAAAAAGATTGGTGCAGCTCGTTTTTCATTATGCTGTTCCAGATATTCTGTAATGTCCAGTACTGTTCTATCATTGTCTTTTAATGGTCTTTTAGACAAAAAATCTACATTGATCTTCATGAACAAAACCTTGTAAAATTATTTTTAGTCTATTTGCAAAAATCATTGTAAATAACTTATAGTCATTGTTTAGTAATGATATTGGTCTGTAATTTTTGGATAAGTTTAAGCCCTGTCCCGCTTTGGGTATTAAAGTAATATTAGCTTCTTTCCAAGACTGTGGCATCCCATCTCCTTGTAGAATAGAATTCATTGTATTTTGAAATGGCTGTAAAATTTCATCCTCAAAACATTTATAAGAAGACTCTGGTATTCCATCTGGCCCAAGTGCTTTTCCTAGTTTAATCTTTTTTATAGTTTCCGAAAGTTCTATTATTGTTATAGGTCTATTCATTATTTGTCTTTGTGTATCTGTAAGCCGTGGTAAGTTTTGCAGTTTTAGATAATTGTCTGTTCTTTCCAGAGAAATGTCCTGTCTTTTACACAAATTAGAATAATACTGATGGAAAGCTTTTTGTATAGCTAAATTATCTGTTAGAACTGTATTTCCCTCTTGGAGTTTCAATATCATCCTCTTTTCTTTCTCCTTCCTTAATTTATAGGCTAACCACTTTCCTGATTTGTTTGCAAATTCAAAATTCCTTTGTTTAACGTAATTCATTTTAGTTTTCATTTCCCTTACTGTCAACATAGATAACTGTTGCGGTAACAGTTTGATTCGATATAACATGCTTGTCTTTGTCAGTGAGTTCTTTAATTCTTCCTCTTTTCTCTTAATCTCCTGTAAAATAGCTTCTGTTTTTATTTGTGCTTTTTTTCCAGTTCCGTATTATATTGAATGAAATAACCTCTAATAAAAGCTTTACTTGTACCCCAAGCTGTTTTTAAGTCTGTCCCTTTATTTAAATTATTCTCAAAAAATTCACTTTTTTTTTTTTTTGGCAATCTTTTACTATCCAGTCTTTTTTGTAATAACATCTCATTTAATCTCCATCTGAGGATAGTAGGTTTTGTTTTAGGATTCAAGGTCACTAGATTATGATCAGAAAAAGGTTTTGGTAAAATCTCCACTTTAGTTTTCTTAGTAACCAAGTTTTTTGAAGCCATATTATGTCCATTCTTGAAAATGATCTGTGTCTTTCAGAAAAATAAGTATATGCTCTAAAATTACCATTTTTTTTTTTTTTGGTCTCCAGATATCCACTAACGTTAAATTGTTCATCAAATCAAAAAAAGTCTTTGGTAATCTACCTTGGATAATTTTAATTTTCTTCTCAGATGTTCTGTCTAGTTGTAGAGAAACCACACCATTCCAATCTCCCATCAAATCCAATTCTCATATGAAAAAATTGTCAATTGTTTTATAAGTCTTTTATAAAAATTTGCTTTATCTTCATTTGGAACATAAATGTCAGGCCCAGCCCAAGAAAAATGATGAAACAGTCCAGTACAGTTCCTTTATTAGCTTACGCCTTGTAGACAGAATCTTGCCAAACGAAATCTATACTACAGCAACTAGTGGATATACCCTGTGAGATTCTAGGGAATGGCTATCCTGAACCTCTTT